ATCATTGCGAAATTCCTCAAGCTCATTGAGCTGCAATTTGCGAGTAGAGCCGGCTTGTTTGAGATCAAAGTTGAGTCTTTTTATGGCCCAATAAGCACGATGCTCTAGTTCAACTGGGAGATGGCAAGCTTTTCCAAAGACAAGCCGATATGGTGACATTCCAATGGGTGTCTTGTAAGCTGTCTGGTAAGCCCAGAGCGCATCGTTTAGTCTTAATGACCAATCTTTGCGGTCTGGTCGAACCGTTTTTTCCAAGATGTGCTTAATCTCCCGATTAGATACTTCCACTTGACCACTCGTTTAAGAATGGTAAGGTGTGGCAACCTTGTGGAGGATGGAGTACTTAGAGAGGACAGATTTAAGGTAACGGTTTCAAAAATGAGATCCACCGTCACTAATGATTGCTCGGGGTGTACCAAAATGACTAAAGATGTTTAATTGAATGAATTGGATCACCACTTTATGATCATCGGTTCTGGTAGCCTCGGCTTCAACCCATTTGGAAACATAATCCACCGCTACAAGGATGTACTCATAGCCATAAGAAGATGGAAATGGTCCCATAAAGTCGATCCCCCACACATCAAAAATTTTAATAATTAGGATGGGAGTGAGGGGCATCATGTCTCTTCTAGACATGGATCCAAGCTTTTGGCAATGCTCACATGATTTGCAGAAGTTGTAAGCATCCCGAAACAAGGATAGCCAATAAAATCCGCTTTGAAGGACTTTGTAGGCTATCTTTTTGGCACTGAAATGGCCGCCACAAGCAAGAGTATGACAGAAATTTAGAATGCTTACGGTCTCAGTTTCGGGAATGCATCTCCGGATGATTTGATCCGGGCAATACTTGAATAGTTCCGGATTTTCCCAAAAGAAATGCTTAATTTGGGAGAAGAAACGGTCTCTTTCTTATTTGGACCAATTGGATGGAATTTTTCCTATCGCTAGATAGTTGACAATATCCGCATACCAAGGGAGACTGGAATGGGAAATCTGAAAAAGTTGCTCATCCGGAAAGGAATCACGGACAGCAGTAAATTTAGAAGATTTCTCAATGAGTAAGTGAGAGCGATGGTTTGCGACAACATTGTCGGTCCCTTTTTTGTCTCGGATTTCAATGTCAAACTCTTGAAGTAAGAGTATCCATCGAATCAGGCGGGGTTTGGTCTCTTTTTTGGTGAGCAAATGCCTAAGAGCGGCATGATCCGAAAAGACTATGACCTTGGATCCAAGAAGATAGGAACGGAATTTATCCAAGGCATACACCACAACTAGCAATTCTTTTTTAGTGGTGGTGTAATTTAACTGAGCATCAAAGAGAGTTTTGCTCACATAATAGATGACACGCAGAAGCTTGTCCACATGCTGGCCCAAAACCGCGCCTAATGCGTAATCGGATGCATCACACATGATCTCAAAAGGAAGAGACCAATTTGGCGGTTTCATGATTGGGGCGGATGAGAGAAGAGTGTGAAGTTTAATGAAAGCTTCCATGCAAGCTTCATCAAAATTGAATGGAGCATCCTAGGCGAGAAGATTGCACAAGGGCCGAGAGATTTTGCTAAAATCTTTGATAAAGCGACGATAGAATCCGGCATGGCCAAGGAAGGAATGGATTTGACGACGGAATTTGGAGGAAGAAGATTAGAGATTAACTCAACTTTTGCCTTGTCTACCTCAATTCCCCATTTAGAAATGACATGTCCTAGAACAATGCCTTCTTGGACCATGAAGTGGCTTTTCTCCCAACTTAGAATTAGATTTGTCTCCTTACATCTTTAGAGAACAAGAGATAGATTGTGGAGATATGAATCAAAGGAGGAGCCAACGACGGAAAAACCGTCCATGAAAACTTCCAAGAACTTTTTAACCATATCAGAAAATATGGACATCATGCACCTTTGAAACGTAGCCGGAGCATTGCATAGCCCAAAAGGCATGCGCCGATAAGCAAAAGTTCCAAAGGGACATGTGAAGGTTGTTTTCTCTTGATCTTGAGGGGCAATTGCCACTTGGTTATAGCCGAAATAACCATCAAGAAAACAATAATAGTTCTGACCGGCTAGCCTTTCTAGGATTTGATCAATGAATGGGAGTGGAAAATGATCCTTCCTAGTTGAAGAGTTGAGTTTCTGGTAGTCTACGCACACATGCCACCCGGTGGTGGTTCTTTGAGGCATGAGCTCACCCGCTGAGTTTTTAACAATGGTGAGGCTGGATTTCTTTGGAACAACCTGCGTGGGGCTTACCCACTTGCTATCAGAGGTGGGGTAGATGATTCGCTCATCTAGCAATTTGATCACTTCTTTCATGACCACTTCCTTCATATTCGGATTCAACCTACGCTGCACCTCTCTAGAAGGCTTTGCGTGATCCTCCATATGAATACGGTGCATACAAATAGAGGGGTCAATTCCTTTCAAATTAGCCACTGCCCAGCCAATAGCTTCTTTGTGCTCTTGTAGCACTGCTAAAAGGCTAGTTTCTTGGTCCTTTTGAAGGTCCGATGCAATGATGACTGAAAAAGTTTGATTCGCACCAAGAAACACATACTTGAGATGGGCCGGGAGCGGCTTTAGCTCAAGTTGTGGAGGAGACTTCAAGAAAAGGACCGGAGGAGTAGAAGAAAGTTGAGGAAGCGGTTCTTTTAGAATTTTCCAAGGAGGAGTATCCATGGTAGCATTGATATCAAGTACGGAGTTTACTTCTTGGATGGATTGATCTATGTCAAAGCTTGAGAAGTCAAAGTGAGACATGCAAGTTTCAAGAGGATCATTGCTTAGAATGAAGGGAAGAGATTCTTCAACCATTTCATCGATGACATCAACAAGAAAACAATCATCCTCATCGGAAGGATGTTGAGTTGCATGGAAGATATGAAGTTTGACTTGCATGTTTCCAAAAGTAATGTCCATCACCCCGGTTCGGCAATTAATGGAAGCGTTAGCCATGGCTAAGAAGGGCCGAACAAGGATCATGGGAATATGCTTTTTTGGATCATGGACCGGTTCCGTGTCAAGAACCACAAAGTCTACCGGGAAGTAGAATTTGTCCACTTTGATAATGACATCCTCAAGAATGCCTCGTGGGTGCTTGACTGATCTATTGGCAAGCTGCAAAACCATGAAAGTTGGCTTTAGATCTCCCAACCCTAGCTGTAAGTAAACTGAATATGGAATCAAATTTACACTAGCTCCTAAGTCAAGGAGGGCCCTTTCTATCTTGTTGTCCCCAATGACACACGAGATAGTTGGGATGCCCGGATCCTTATACTTTGGAGGAGCACTGTGTTGAATGATGGCACTCACATTTTCAGTTAACCTTACTTTCTTTGGCAAATGATTTTTGGACGTGCGCTTTTGAGTGCACAAATCCTTAAGAAATTTTACATAGGGAGGGATTTGCTTGATAGCATCCAAGAGAGACAAGTTGATTTTTACTTGCTTGAAAACCTCCCACATGTCTTGAATTTTGCAATTCTTGTTCCCAATATGTGTCGACTCTTGGAGACGTCGAGGAAACAGAGCTTTAGGCTCATAAGCAGTTTCCACATTTGGGGTGACAAGCTTGGGATTTTCATGAGTAGGATTTGGATTAGAAGAGCTGGCACTTAGATTTGGATTTTTCGAGGGAGAATTTTTCTCATCCTTGTTTCCATCAACCTTGTTGTCAACAACACGACCACTCCTAAGGGTGGTGATTGCTTGGACTTGTTCATGAATTGGCCCACTCGGAGGAGGGGTTTCATCAATCACATGCATCCCTCTAGGATTTTCAAATGGTTGAGCGGGAAGCTTACCCTTGTCCTTTTGGAGCAATTGATCCATGGAGTTAGCTATTTGACCCATTTGATTCTCAAGTTTAGCTATGGACTGAGTATGAGAATGAACCATTTGGAGAGTGGGCTACAAAGATGACAAGAGTTGCTTGTTGGATTCCATCATTTGTTGATTTAGAGATTCCATCATTTGTTTATTTGCAGCTATAATCTCATCCTTTGGGGACATGGGAGGTTGATTAGAGACATTTGGATTATACGGAGGGCGGTAACTCGATGAGGTTGGAAATTGCCTATTTTGAAATTGAGAAAAGGGCTGATTTTGATGCCCCGGATTTTGGAATTGTGAATTTTGTGGGGCTTGTTGCCTCCACGAGAAATTCGAATGATCTCTCCATCCCGAATTGTAAGTATTGGAATATGGATTATTCCCGGACCTCGAGAACATGGCATTTGTTTGCTCTTGATTTGGATTAGAAAATTGCTCCGGTGTGGGGCAATCTTCCGAGAGATTGAAAGGACTAGTGCATGATGCGCAAACCGTACTTGCCGAATTTTGAGACAAAGAGGGGGAGAGATGTGGTGCCATTAATTGATAGAATTTATGATCTATGGTATCCACTTGAGATGATTCTTCTCTAATGGTCTTCGGCTAACAAGGATTGGTGTTCTTGGTATTAGTTGAGATTGGACCACCACGAGAATTATGATGTAACGAGTTTTCACTCAAATTCTCAAGGTCCTTGCCTCATCCGCATTTTTAAACATGAACATTGTGAGCAACTGCAATTTTATCATTTTCTGGACATATTGGCATTTATGCATTTTTATTTCATTGTCGGGATTATGATTAATTGCAAATGTGGTTATTTTATTTAAATGTCATTTAATTATTTTATGAGGGACATTATTGACTTTTATTGTGTAAATGACATTTATTTATTTTGTGAGGGGTATTGTGGACCTTTTGCTATGCAAAGGACATAGTTGGTATTTAGAAATTGGTGGAGGGTATTATGGAATTTTATTATGCAAATAGCCTAGTTGGCATTTGATTATTTTACAAAGGGCAAAGTAGACTTTTATTATGCAAATGGCATAATTGGTAATTAGAAATAATGGAAGGGCTTTTTCGTCATTGCACTTAGTCCACCTTTTGACAATATGTGTACTTGACACCTATGTGTACACTAAGCCTTATTGCATCATAGGAATGATTATTACAAGGTGATAGATATAGAAATATTCTGCAAAAGTAACATTTCGTCACTTTTATTTTCTTCACCATAGTCATCTCTTTTGCTTGCAAAATTGAGGTACTTGTGTTGAGAATTTGGGGAGGGTTTGTGAATAAAAAGTGACCTAGAGATCATGGACTTCCTTTTTGGTGTTGAAGTTATGAGCATTTTCCAACTATGGAGTTGTCAAAGTCTGTTTCAAAAGAATAGGGTTTTTGGTTGAAAAAGAAAGAAGCGTTCTTCCATCTATATCATTTTGGGTAGCTTTGATTCAGTCCTTGGGGGGCTTTTTCATCGTTCTTGCAAGGGTTTTGAAGCTTCATTGAGGTAGGATTGTCTAACCCTCAATTCCTTTGCCTTTAGTGAGTTAATCTCTTTCAATTTTTGAGTTGCAAAGTGCATGCAAACAAAACTGAAATTCTGTGCTGCTGAAACTGTTAGGCTGAATTACATGCAACTGTTTTGCTCAAATTGATGTAAATTCGTAATTGATCTTTTAGACATGATTTGATTTTATGATAATATAATTAATTAGCTTTCATTGAGAATTGGTTTCACTTAAATTGGTTGAGAAATGAATTTATTATGAATTTTTAAAGTTAGAGTGTTCTTGCTGGAAATTCTGTGTTGGGGCAGTTTCTGTCCGAGTTTTTCTCATCAAACCTGCTTTAAATGGTATGGTATTTTGATGAAATAAAATTTTATATTAAAAATATAGTCTTTTATCTTTCAGTGGCCTTTGGATTCACTCAATTTGGACGAAAATTGAATTTGTTATGATTTTTCAAAGATGGAAGCTACAGGCTGGAAATCAGTGTCTGACAGATTTTTATTTCGAAATTGTGGATCAAAACTGTTCTAATTGGGAAGGGATTTTGGGAAACTAAATTGACACTCTAAAATTGCATTGTTTAAGCTTTCATTTGGCTTTGGAATCACTCAATTTGACTGAGAATTGAATTTGTTATGAATTTTCAAAGATGGAAGCTACAGGCTGGAAATCAGTTTCTGGGCAGGATTTATTTAGAACTTTTGGGCCAAAACTGTTCCAATTGGGAAGGGAATTTGTGAAACCAAATTGACACTCTCAAAGCACATTGTTTAAGCTTTCATTTGGCTTTGGAATCACTCAATTTGAATTAGAATTGAATTTGTTATGGATTTTCAAAGATGAAAGTAACATGCTGCATGTGAACTGTTTACTGTTTAGAAACTTCAGAACATGACACAATTGTGCATTTATCTTGCATCGTCATGGGTTTAAGATTAGAATGGAAAAAGGAAGTGAAAGTTCAGTAAATGATTTTGAAAACCGGATAACAGGGAGGCGCCTTGTATCTGTGAGTTTAGAAAGTGGGATTGATTCAATGATTTTAAAACCAGACAAGGAGTTGCCTTGTCTGTGCAGTTAATGGGAATCTAGAGAAGACGTAGGAGTTGCCTACGCGTAATTGTGTCACTAGGCCCCAAATGATTACAAGGAGTTGCCTTGGATCAGGGATAGATGATCAATTCTCTTCTCGTGGTACAGGGAGCAGCTCTGGCCGGATTACATTAACTTTTTGTGATGAAAATTGGATTTTGGGAAGTGAGAAGTGTCAGTGGCATTAGCATTAGCATCCGCAGTGCATGGCACTTCATTTTATTATCCGGCATGACATTATTTCTTTCCTGAGTTTATATGATCCCATTATCCTTTATCTATTCTTTGTTTAGATTCACGGAGGTATTAAGGAGTGCCCTTTAGGCAAATCCTGCTGAGCTGTGGTTGCTCATTCCTATATTCTTCACATCTTTTCAGGTCATGGCACAGATGGTTTGGAGGGTGTTCCTCCTCAGCTGTAGACAGAGTCGGGTTGGTGTTGTCATGTTTTCATTCCGCATTTTTGACTATGTTTTGTATTATATTTCTTAGAATATCCCAAGCATAATAAATATTCTTTAAAACTTTAAAGTTGTAATATTTGTTTTTTTATCTATTTATTTTTAGTCTTGTTTTTGTAAAGGGAAATAGATAGATGGATGTGTGGTTGAGACATGTTACAGGGATAATTATTGATTTTGAGACTGTGATTGTTTGTGTGTTGTGTTCACAATCCGGACTACGGTCTAGGGGCGTTACAAACATCCCCCCACAAGATGAGTCAACCATCAATCTATGTGGGTCGGTTAACCCAGCATAGAAGGCTTGCACCAACTGCCACTTTGGGATTAGATGGTCTGGACATTTCCTAAGAAGATCTTGAAATCTCTCCCAAGTCTCATGGAGTTGTTCCCCCTCGCTTTGCGAAAAGCTAAGAATGGAACGCCTCATTAAATTGGTTTTACTCACTGAATAATACTTTTTTAGGAATTCTTGCTGCAATTGAGCCCAAGAAGTAATGGAATTTGCAGCAAGGGAGTTCAACCAATACTTTGCCCTATCTTTTAAGGAAAATGGGAAAAGATGCAAATGGAGTGCATTTTCAGGGAAACCTCGCAACCTGATGGTCGAACAGATCTCAAGGAACTCATCAAGATGTTTATATGGATCTTCATTATCAAAGCCATGGAAGGATGGAAGCATTTGAATGGTACTTGATTTAATCTCATATTGAGCCGCATCGATGTTTGGCATCACTATGCATGAGGGTGAAGCATATGTGGTAGGGATGAAATGGTCTCTGAGAGTCATTGGCTTTACATTTGGAATTTCGGCCCTATCATTATTAATTCCCTCATTTTCCGACATTTCTTACATTTTCAGCCATTGTGTTAAATTCAGTTTCAAGTTCTCTTATGCTAGAAGATTCCCTAAGGTTTCGTCTAAGAGTTCTTTCAAGTGAATTTATGTCAACTGGCGAGTCAAGAGTTGGTAAGGAAAGTGATCTACGGCCAAACATCAACAACACATAATGCAATCAACACAACAATTCATCATCATCAACTCCACATACGATGTTCCCTTTCTCCTCAATTATCAAGACAGAAATTAAATGGCCATGACAATGACCGAAGCTTTGCAATGGAAAATAAACAAGACAATAGACTCAACAAGGGCTTCACAACTAAATAACACTAAGTTAAACACATGCGAGATATTCACAATTTCGAAACTAGAAGGTCAAGAGACTTACCTGGAGTCCTCTAGACTTACGAATTTGCTAGGGTGCCCCCGGCGAGCATCAAGTCCCCAGAATCTCACAAACAACTTTCAACATCAAAATGGTCAAAACCGCACAAGAAATATTCACAAATCACAATATTAACAATCAAACCAAAGTTAACCCTAGAACTTCGGTTGCTAAACCGTTTGCAGTCCCTGGCAACGGCGCCAAAAATTGATCGATGGATCGATTATCAATTATAAATCAACCCGTTTTGCAATAGCACAAATCACTGTAAAATAAGGCTATTGGTCGGGTAAGTCGAACCACTGGGACTGCTAGTCTATGGCAACCTAAGTGTCTAGAATCATCTTTTAGAATAATAAGGGGGTTTATAGAGGATTTGTTGGGTTGTCACTTAAATTATGAATTTAGGAATGTATAAAATAGTAAATTGCAAGGAATGTAAAGGAAGGAGATCTAGATAGAGAGGGCTAGGGAAGCAACTTCACCACCTACAATATAAACATGCTAGACTATGATTCATTCGGGGGAAAACAACATAAATATATGTCTTTGATAAGTAGTTACTCAAGGTTACTACATTACCTTCAAAGGATTCATGAAATCAATAAACAAGAACAATTTTTCAAAGATTTTACATGCTCAACTACCTAAACTAAAGTGTAATTTTGGACATGTTCACTAAGCTAGAAATTGTCAAGTCATCAATCACATGATAAGAGCACATGAAGCTAAGAATTAAGAATAAGCCATCAAAGAAAGAACCTAAGCTATGGCCTATCAAATCTCTCTACAACATGCCATTAAAACCATTCCAAAAATCTCATCTTCATTGTCACCATGAAAATGTAAACCATACAACCATGAAAACATACATTCTAAGACAAGAAAGTAGATTCAACATGATCATTAAATCAAAATCAGTTCATTACATCAAGTAAAAGTTCTAGATTATGGAATCACCACAAGAGTACATTATTTTCCCCACAATAGAATCAAAATTAGAACATGCTTACAATGAGGGGTTCCGTCACCTCCCTAGAGGAGGAGTTAGTTACCCATGGATGCCCTAAAAGAAGGAAGAAACTTCAAAGCTCCCTCTATTTTGGAGCTCCACCTTTCTAGCCATAAGAACTCTATCCTCTTCTCCCTTTTCTCTCTCCAAAAATCTTGCAAGATATATGTGATGATCTAATCTCTTGGTTCCCCCCTCTTTTTGTAGACAATAAGCCTACCAAACCCCCTCAAAATGAGGCTCAACTCCCCCCAAAAGACATCTCCAACCAACTCATAAAAGAGGGAAATCCGAAGTTGAGGGAATCAAGGCACAAGTGGGACTGCATGTTCCATCGAGCGCTTAAAGAAGAGGCTTCAAGCACTCGAAGATGTTCGAAGTGATTCTGCCCAAATTTCGAGTGCTCGAAGGTCCTTTCGAGCACTCGAAGATACAACAGATTGCATTCTTCTACTTGTTCTGCTCTGAGCTACTTTGGTAAAAAGGCCATAACTTTCTGCTCCGAACTCCAAATGACGAAGCGTTTGATGATTTGGAAGGCTAATTCAAAGCTCTAAGTATGCCATGTTTTAATGGAAGTCCAGTTCTCAAGTTTGTTGGGTCAAAAATGATGAGCAAAGTTGAACTCCCATGTTGCCAGGCTGTAAACTTCAGCATTGCACACTTTGATATTCAAGAACTCATCAAAACATCATTTTTATTCCTTTTTGGCAAACAAACCTGAAAATAAATAAAACATGCAAATGAAGATAATCTACATAAAATAATCAAATAATGGACTTAACTAATGCAACTAAGGGCGCTTGAATATGCAATATTCGGCGCTTATCAAGTGACGTCATTGTCCAAATTCAATTTCAGCATGTTTTCAACAAAAACTTAACACTAAGCAAGTGTAAAAAGATGAATTATACCTGTGTCAACCCTCAAAATAGACCACAGCACCTTGGAACCCAAATTCACTACTTAGTCCAGCCCTTGCATCAGTAAAAATGACAGCAGCAACATCTCCTCAGCTATTGCACTAACAAGGCTCAAATCAATGAGTTTTTCTGGCATGAATCATCATTAAAACACTTAAAAAAAAAAAAAACAAGTTCATTCAGTGCTCTCGAGAGAATACTAGCTGCAGCTCACTTTTTCACAAATCTCAAAAGGCTTCAAACCCTAAACTTACTATAACAGCATATTTATAGTAATGCTGAATGCACAAGGCTTTATACACGAAGAGTATATACCTGTCAGCTTTAGCCAATGATTGATAGAGCATAGTTCAGATATTTTCAAAGGAGAGAACCAATCTCAGCAAGCCACCTCAGCTATTTTAACACCTTGCATACCAGAATTCCTACACACACAATACATTGCTGTAAATTGCAATTTTTTCCAAACTTATCCTCCAAGAAATGTAATATTCTTGCATATACCAGCCCTCTAGGACCACTGAGACGTGTCACATTCTTGAGCTTAGCTGGAAAGGACCAAAATGCCCTTGTAACAGATTTAACTCTTCTCAGCAATGTGAAAGTCCTGAAACTGTATTCCTCACAATGCAGGTTCAATTAAGACACTCCAGTACAATGCAGCTACCTGAGCATACATATATATGTGTAATACAACTGAGAAAAGACAATACTGCCCCTGAGAACACCTGTAGCAGCTTTACAAGAACTGAACCTCAATTAACTCAGCAAATTCAGCTAAAACAGATAATTACACTATGATACACACACTGAGGCCAATGAATAGGGAATATCATTGAAAAGGAAATAAACATACTGTACTTGTACCTTATTTTAAACAATAATGAAGGAATATAACCCCTTTAAAGCCATTGATAAACAGGTTTTTGACATTAAATAGGCAAACAGTGCTTAAGAGACCTTAAGACCAACAATCTCCCCCTTTTGCCTTTAATAACAAAAACTCCAACATGAAATAAGATCTCAATGAAACAAATTCAACCATAGTGATGGTGAACACAACAAGCATAGTAAAAAACAACACCAAATAAAAGGAATAGCTGAAAAACTACCCTTATTTCAGTCTTCTCTCCCCATTTTTGTCATTAAAGGACAAAAAGTGAGAAGGACCAACAATGGTAAGCTTAGAAAGGTGGTTGAATAACCCTGAGAAGATCTCTAAGGGTCGAAAATCTCTAAGGGAGAAAGGTTTGGTCATGATATCTACAAGTTGATCTTCAGTAGGTAAATAAGTAATGTCAAGAAGACCTTTTTGAACTTTGTCTCTGAGAAAATGATACTTGATATCAATATGTTTGTTCTTCCAGTGAAATGTAGGATTCTTATTAATTACAATTACACTTTGATTATCACAGTAAAGCTTAGGAGGACCTAAAAATTAAAGACCAAGATCTGCAAAAGTAGTGTTCATCCAAAGAAGTTGTGAACCAGCCTAAGAAGCAGCTATTTATTCAGCTTCTGAAGTAGATAAAGAGACAGTATCTTGCTTAACCAATAGACCAAATTTGATCCTAGGAGATACCAACATCCTAATGTAATATTCTTGCATATACCAGCCCTCTAGGACCACTGAGACGTGTCACATTCTTGAGCTTAGCTGGAAAGGACCAAAATGCCCTTATAATAGATTTAACTCTTCTCAGTAATGTGAAAGTCCTGAGACTATATTCCTCACAATGCAGGTTCAATCAAGACACTCCAGTACAATGCAGTTACCTGAGCATACGTATATATGTGTAATACAACTGAGAAAAGGTAATAATGCCCCTGAGAACACCTGTAGCAGCTTTACAAGAACTAAACCTCAATTAACTCAGCAAATTCAACTAAAAGAGATAATTACACTGTGATACACACACTGAGGCCAATGAATAGGGAATGTCACTAAAAATGAAAT